TTTGGGATTTGTCCGAAAGCTACCTTGACTCGAAACAAATGGGAATAAGGGAAAGAGCTGGCTGCCCATAAGCGTGAAAGCCGCCAATGTGCACAAAGAAAAATGGAGCACAAAGAGAGATAAAAAAAAAATGTCTTTTGCACATGTTGATTGTTTAATTTATAAGGATATGTAATTTCATTGATTTATTATCTGAAATCTGAACAATTGACAGATCATATGTTTTTGAAACTTAGTGGTGATTTTACTACACTTACTAAGTTTGTGGAACTTTATTGAATTGATCTTGGTTATTTCTGTTGATACATATAATCTTGTGGAGTCAACATTCTCAATGATTTCAATTTACAAGATTTATATGGTTGGTTGCTTCCTATTTCTAAGATTTTTCTTTCGTGAAACCCTTCTTAATTTGTGACAAAAAGGGGGAGATATTTAGGGTTTTGTGTCTATCATTCAGGGGGAGAGATTCTTTTTGCATTGAGGGGGAGAACCATTGCCATTCAGGCATTTTTAGCTTTGCTATTTTATACTTATGTTTATTTTCTTGATTAAGTTTCACGGGTAGTTATGTTTGAGCTAATGTGCAGATTACAGGTTGTTACATGTGTTGTGTTAAAGCTTCATGAGATTCAAAAAAAATTTCGCGTTTTATTTCCTTTAACAATCAAGGTAATTTATTTTCCTACTTGGGTAGATTGCTGAATTGTTTTTAGGGTTTTGTCATAAAATTGCCAAAGGGGGAGATTGTGAGATATATATTTTGTAATTGGGTTATTTCGTTGTCAAAACAAGTCCGATCGAGTTGTAATTTTTCGGTTCAAAGGTTGAAGATCGGATGCGGATTTGAAGAAAGTCAAAGTCAAGTGTTCATGATATACTACACTCCGAGATAATGAGAACGATACTCTAAGAAGGTTGAAAGGTAGTGAGAACAGTTAGGAAGGATTCTGGAAGGTTCGGAACAATTTTAATTGCAAAATTTCAAGACTGGTTATGTTGAACCGGTTCAAGAGGGCTGAACCGGTTCAAGAATCCGTGGGATTCCTTACTGTCCATCTTGAACCGGTTCAGTTCTTGAACCGGTTCAATATGGTTGAACCGGTTTAAGAAGTCCTTGATGCATTAGGTTTCCAAGTTTCCATCTTCTGATGTTTTCTTTTTGATCCCAACTTCTTTCCAAGTCCTATGCACGAAATTTATCATATTTTCTGAGGGATTAGGACTTTCAAAAACTTTATGTAAACCATGTCATATACATTGGTTTATACACGGCTTTAGGGAAAATCAATTCTATATTTTGAGAAAGCCGTTAGAGAGAGAAAAATTCAGAAAATCAAATCTGATTATTCTGAAGCTAGTTTGAGAGCACACACACACACACACACACACACACACACATATATATATATATATATTCATAACTGAGTTAGTTGTGATGTTCTCTATCTCATCGGAATTGGAGCTGTATTGAAGATTCAGATATTCCGGATGATCAGCAAGATTTAATTCTTCTATAATCGAGTTTAGATCTTGAAGAACAGAAGTAAACGCAATCACATTTTGGAAGGGTTGGAGCATTCGTGGAGTATTGTCTGATTTACCTACTACTCTTTTACAAATATCAAGTGTAAGCCTGAGGTCAAGTTACTGTTGGACGGGGAGTCACAAAGCCAGAGGATCGTCAACGGTTGGTATGGTGTAGAACGATAGGGTATGAGCCAGAGTCAAAGTTCGGTATATTTTGTTTCAAACATAGTGGGTTGGTTTACTTTGGATTTCACAGTCCACGAGGTTTTTCCAATAACAGTTGATGTATTTTATCAACTGTGGTTTTTCTCGCTAAAATCCTGGTGCGATCTCTCTAACTCTAACTTGCTTTACTTTTCATATATTTGTGATTGTGAATGTTTAAATTAGTCATATAATTTAATCAATTATAAATTGAGCAAGTTAACCTAATAATCAGATCTAGGTCTTTAAGGGAGTTAATTACAATTAAAATCAACTGACTTTTTCCGCACCTCGCGTGACTCTCGTTTTCATAAGTGGTTCCGGTTATTAGCCCGCAAGGTACTACCTAGTGTGCAGCTACCGTTATATTGGTGATTTTGGGTTACTATCCCTCAGGGTACCATCCGGTGCGCATTATATGAAATAGAGGGAACTCTCATCCCCCGTACTAAAGCCATGCCCTAGCCGTAACAATTTTCAATGTCCATACAAGCTTTTCAAAAATCATCAAGTTGTGCAACAAATATATCTCATATACACAATGCACCAAAATCAATTACCACGCACAACCAAGTCATGGAATACACACAAGCCATGCCCTAGGCATTCAAGCTACAATGACATATTAAATGTCATATAAATAAATTGTGAATACTTACAAGTTAAATCATAACTTCAACTTATGGAATACTATCATGTAATCATATAACAAGTTCCAAACTACAAATTAAGTAAGAATACAACATCAATACCTAATTACCTCAATGGAAACATAAAAGGGAATTTAATTATCTTAAGTAATTAAATTCTCAAGATTATAAAACGACTCCAAATAGTCTACAAATCATATATGTCAAAGGTCATATCAATGCCTATTTTAATTTCATGATGCAAGTTAATTCTATACTAGGCATCACTAGGTGAATTAAATTTCATATAAGGAAAATAATTAAACAAAGTATTCAAGGCTCATTCAAATATTTTCAATTCAAGGTATGTTAATGAACATATCAAGGCCTACTTTAAAATCATATTACAAGCTAATTATACACTAGTTTCAATTAGGTAAATTAAACTTAATGTCAAGAAAATAAACAAATAAAGTTTTTAAAACTTATTTAAATATTCTCTATGTAATACAAATGATAGAACATGCTAAGCTCATCAACAATATCAAGTTAAAAATCCATTCAAGTGAATAGAATACTTAAAATAAAATTAATTAATCTAATTAATTAATTTTCTCTAGAATTTAAAACAACTCCAAATGTCCTCAAATTCACATATGTTAAAGAACATACCAAGAACTAATTTAATATCACATTACAAGTTGATTCTATGCTAACTACAATAATGTGAATTAAATTTTCATACAAGTGAAAGATTAAATAATAGTTACAATACTTATTCAAATCCTCCCAATTTAATATATGTTAACAAACATATCGATGCCTAATTTACTAGCATGCCACAATTTAATTCCAAGCTATATACAATCATGAGAATTAAATCTTATCCATAAAAAATAATTAAATTAAATTCTAGAATTAATATAAAGGCATGCTTACAAGTTGTATATGCTTAGAAAATAATCAATACAACATAAATATAAACCTAAAACATCCCCTACCTCATTTTGTGGCTCCGAATCCGACGATACTCTTAGGTTATGTCGGGGACTACGAGGAAAGCAACTTTAACCTTTGAGGCACCATAAAAATCCAAACCCAAACTTAAAACCCAAACTAAAAAATGGTCAGAATCGGCTTCTAATAAGGGGGAAAGGTGCGCCTTGCCAAGGCCTACGATAAACGCTAAGGCACTATGACATTTTATACGAGGGAAGAAGGTGTAAAAGAAGAAAAGAAGGTGGGCTGCCATGGCTGGTCTGGAACGTGGGGAAAAGAAGAGGGGTTGCCATGGCTGGTCTGGAACATGGGGAAAAAAAGAGGAAAATTTTGATTTATTTTTCCCAAGCTCCTATTTATAAAAAATCTAAAAAAGTGCCCTGAATGGGTCTGAAAAAGTTGAATTTGTGCAGACGCGCTCAAACGATAAAATACCGTGAATGAAAAAGAACCAAAATGAAAAAAAATGAATAACGGAAGAAACGAAATAAAAAACCGAGTCTCGTGTAGAAAGATATGCCCCGAACAAGTTCGGCACTAACCGAGATCGAAAACCCTAAAATTGGAAAAAACGACCGTGAGGAAATTTTAAGAGTACACAACTCGACTAAATGTGAGGATGAATCCCGTACGAGGATCCAGGCTCAAAATGAGGCATTTTGTAATAACTATGGTTAATTGCACAATGGCCCCTCCAAGAAAGGGTAATTGCAAAACTGCCCATAACGAAAATATCTTCCAAAAAATATTTTCTTAAAAACTCCTGAAATAAAATATTTTCAAAAGATATTTATGAAAAATATCCTAAGAAACATCAGTGTTTCTGAAGAATCCTTTCATCCACGCCCCTATGGTAGAAAGAAATAACTAGCGAGCTTTTCTCCAAAAGTAAATCTACGCTTTTCGAGAAAATTAACTGGAATAAAAACTCGTGAAGTCAAAACTCAACTCCGAACATAAAAAGGGAGGTTATGCCAACAAAGCGACAAACGGGGAAAAAGACGAAAAGTGTCTAGTGTCGAAAAACGAAAAAAAATGTAGAAATGACGCGGTCCTTTAAGAAAGTTGTTAATCCAAAGGAAAGAGTCTCGGAAATCATTTCTGAGCGTTCAAGACGACACTAAGCGATGAGTAACCGTATTCAGAAAAGAAAAATCAACAGAAAAAATTTATTCGGAAAAATCTGAGAAAAATGAAAGGAAATAAAATGACCGGATTATTACAGTTTGCCTTTGTACAGTGTTTATCACTGTATTTGTAGATGCGAATAAAAAAAAAAAAAAAATTTCTTCACTCGCGATAAAAGGAAAAAAAAAAAAAAAAACTTCAATATCAAATGTATAAATAGTGATAATACTATCTCCGTCCCTTTTTAATTGTTCGCTTCATAAACTGTAACTCAGTCCCTTTTTAATTGTTCGTATCGTAAACTGTAATTCACAATTTACAAGGCGGACAATTAAAAAGAGACGGAGAAAGTAATTTTTTATTAAAAATAACAATCATTATGAATGACTTAGGCAGTCTTGTTTAAATAATAATAATAATAATAATAATAAAATCAAAATTAAAACAGCAGGTAAGCTGCTCATGTTAAGCACAGGCGCATGTCAAAGTACTACCACTGTACCACATCCATATCCGCATCTAGATAAGTCTGGCTGATGGGCTTATCTTCATAGTCAAAGCAGACGAATTAATACTATGAACGGCGTTCAAACCCATCGCTGTAATGGAGAGCCCAAAATCACACCCAAGTTCACCCATCCTCTTTCTTTCTCATTCCTCACCAAACTTTGAATTATCAAACACCAACCCATCTGTTTCTCTGCGCAACATCTTCTGCATGGGCTCTTTCACCATCATCACCAGTAGTAGACTAGTACTACTTTTGTCCTGCACAGTACTACTCGTCGATTCTGGGCCCCTCTCCTCCGATTTCATCCGCCCAAACTTCACCGCCTCCTACCTCCAATTCATCGACAACAGCCCCTCCGGAGCTTTCTTGGCCTCTCGCAACCGGACCTTCATTGCAACCATCACCAACCCAAACCCCGAACCCAACAGAGTCTTTTACTTGTGCGTTCTTCACGCCCCTTCCAACACCATCGTCTGGTCCGCCAATCCCAACGCTTCAATCTCTGATTCTGCCAAGCTCCGCCTCACCGCAAACGGTCTCACCATCATGAACGACGCAGGCAACGTGGTTTGGTCCACCGCGCCATTTCACGACCCTGCTGTTTCCTTGTTACAGCTTCAAGATTCCGGCAATTTAGTCCTGCTCAATCGCTCGAATGCTACTTTGTGGGCAAGTTTCGATCATCCCACCGACACCATTGTTATTGGACAGAAGTTGCCCGTTGGTGAATCACTGGTTGGTGCTGCGACGGAGGACAACTTCACTGCCGGTGATTATCGCCTTACGGTAACCGGCGGCGACGCCTTGTTGCAGTGGAATGGGTTGACTTATTGGAAGCTGTCTATGGGAACACGGGCTTTCAAGGATACAAATTTTCCCGTTTCCTACATGGGCTTGAAATCGAGCAATGCTACTACAATTACAAATGGTCTCTGTCTATTTGGGGACAATGGGTCAACAGTTGTGATTCGGATGGACTTGGCGGAGTCTGATTCTTTTAGAATTGCAAAGTTGGGATATGATGGTCATTTCGTTGTTCAGAGATTTGTGAGCACGGAAAACAAATGGGTTCAAGAATTTACAGGTCCGGATGATGACAATTGTCGAATTCCATTCGTTTGTGGCGAAATGGGACTTTGCTCGAATGGAAAATGTTCGTGTCCGGCTAGTTTTCAAGCAGCTACTCAGATGGGCGGAGGTGGCGCGTGCAAACCCTCCAACGCTTCTTATTCCTTGTCCTCAGCTTGTGATGATGATACTCAATCCAATTCTTCCACCATTTCGTATTTGGGGTTGGGCAAAGGTATGGACTATTTCGCCAATGATTTTTCTCAACCTGCCAAAAATGATGTTAATCTGTCTGTGTGTCGTGATCTTTGTTCTCGGAATTGTTCTTGCTTGGGAATTTTCCATGGTAATTCTTCTGGGTCTTGTTATCTACTCCAAAACCATTTGGGTTCCATCATGGCAAGCTCTGAAAGCGATCGATTGGGTTACATAAAGGCTCTGGTTGTATCTTCCTCACCAAACCCAAATGCTGATGAGGAGGGAAACTTCCCAATTCTGGGTTTGGTACTATTGCCTTCCTCTGGGTTCTTATTAGTCACCCTTGTTGCTATGGTAATTCTCTGGTACAGAAGAAAAGCAAGGCGTTCTAGAAATGGGGTAGTAAAATTAGGCCGCAGAAACTCATCCTCGTCGGGAGAGCTTGAAACATTCTCTATCCCGGGTTTACCGGTGAGGTTTGATTACGAAGAGATTGCAGCTGCAACTGATAAATTCAGCAACCAAATTGGTTCAGGTGGATTTGGGACGATATACAAAGGCACTCTCCCGGATGAAACTGTGGTGGCAGTGAAGAAGATTACTAGTTTGGGTGTGCAAGGAAAGAAGGAGTTTTGCACTGAGATTGCTATTATTGGGAATGTTCACCATGTCAATTTGGTTAGACTAAAAGGTTTCTGTGCACACAAGAGGCAAATGTTTCTTGTCTATGAGTATATGAATCGGGGTTCATTGGATCGTACCCTCTTTGGTGACGGACCTGTTTTAGAATGGCAGGAGAGATTCGAGATAGCACTTGGAACAGCTCGCGGGCTTGCTTATTTGCACAGTGGGTGTGAACACAAGATCATCCACTGTGATGTCAAGCCAGAGAACATTCTCTTGCACAACAATTTACAAGTGAAGCTATCAGATTTTGGGCTTTCAAAGCTGCTTAGTCCTGAACAATCTAGTTTATTTACGACTTTGAGAGGAACCCGAGGCTATCTAGCGCCTGAGTGGCTGACTAGTTCTGCCATCTGCGACAAGACAGATGTGTATAGTTACGGAATGGTGTTGCTAGAGGTAGTGAGGGGACGGAAGAACTGCACATTACAGACAGTCAGCCATAGAACAGTAGATGATAGAAGTGGTGGAAATGGTGGGACATCTTCATCTTCCTCTGTCTTGGAACGTCAGTCTGTTTACTTCCCCCTGTTTACATTGGAAATGCACGAGCAGAGGAGGTATTTGGAGCTTGCTGACGTGAGGCTTGAGGGAAGAGTCACGTGTGAGGAAGTAGAGAAGCTAGTGCGGGTTGCTCTGTGCTGTGTGCATGAAGAGCCATTGCTGAGGCCGACCATGGCTAAGGTTGTTGGCATGTTAGAAGGTGCACTACCATTGGGCGAGCCGCGGGTTGAGTCTCTCGAATTTCTAAGGTTCTATGGCCGGCGATTCACGGAGGCGTCAACAATAGAAGAAGGGTACAATGGGATGAATGATTTTGTGTTCCATCCACAAGTAAATGCCAGTTCTAATAGCACTACTAGTGATCCACATAAAGTCTACTCTTACATGTCTTCGCAGCAAGTCTCAGGTCCCCGCTAGTGCGCTAGAGGCTCAATGCTCTCTTTTATTTTAGCTGGAGGAGTCCATGGACGGTATACATTCAGGTTTTTTCTTTACCTTCCATTGAATAGACTCAGATCTAACTCCCTACCAATGCTTAGGTAGTGTAATGGTTTTTTTGTGCTTGCCTATTGAAATTGCTTCAAAGTATGGTGCTCTCTTACTAGAGACATGTAGCTTTTTTGTGGTTGGCCATTTGACTCCATATCAATATGAAGATTTGCTATCTGGTATAGTTTTTTGTTCAAAAGTTTGTTGCTGTTCTTCAATTCAAATGTACATCACATTGTATAAATTATGAATTCTTTTTTTATTTTATTTTTATTTTTTTAATCTAGTATAAATTATAATTCTTAGATTATATATAAGGAATCCTTTGTGTTGATAGAAAATTTGTCAAAAAGAATAAACAAAATGTTCAAGTAAGTACTCGAAACACTACGTACCCAAAAAAAAATAAAATAAAAAATAAAACTCACAAGTTATACATGGGAGCAAATCCTCTCCAGTGAACTGTTCTGCGATTCTGTCATGTACACCTTTACTTGGCCAATATACTTTGCCATCTCATCGGGTTTTTTTGAGAGCCCTTAATGCTGGGTCCTTTTGGACTACAACATACATTGAAGGATAGAAACCGAAACATCTTTTTCCGTTAATGTCCCAAAAAGTTAATTTATAATATTAAAAAACAGACTTCAAAATTCTAAATCAAAAGCAAAACTCATTCCTCTTCCCTAGAAAAACCAATTCCTCTTCTCTAGCTACCCTACTATGTGCTTGGGGATGCCTTTTGAAAGTAAGGCAGGTTTGGAAAACAAAGGATATCTTTACCTTCTCATTGATTTTGTTTTTTCTGATTAATTATATCCATTGACTTCAAAGCTCAATTGCAATTGTTTCACATTTCAAGTGTTGAGGTTGTGGAGCCTGATCACTAGTTGAATTATTGTTATGGAGAAGTCCGACCAGTCGCACTTGCACTTTGCTAGTAAGTTGCGACAATTATTTCCTTTATGGGTTTTCCCTTTCCAAAAGGTTTAGACTTGTGGGGCCAGTTATCTTCCTATATATAGTTGGTTTTGTACCAACCCCTAGGTGAAGAAGTTGTGTGAGAATATTGTGTTGGCACAAGAAAGAGAGTAAGAGAGAGATTGAGAGGTAGAGTGTTCTCTATTTTAATCCTTCATCTTTTTCACAGTAAAATTGTTCATTGCACTCCGTGGACGTAGCTCAGAGTTTGGGTGAACCACGTATATCTTGTGTTGATTGTGTGTGATTGTTTTTCTTCTCTGATTGCCTTGGTTTGAGAATGTAGGGAACAACAGGTGTTTGTCGAAATTTGAAGTCTTTCATATTCGACCTATCTAGTCAAGTGGGAGTAATGGTATCAGAAGACATCCATGATTAAGAAGTTTGATGGCACAAACTTTAGTTTCTTGAAGATACAAGTTCAGCATTACTTGTTCCAGAAAAATTTGTATCGACCTTTTGAAGTGAAGTCAGAGGATATGTAGGATGCGGAGTGGCAATTGGTTAATTGGAAGGCTCTTGGCACCATTAGATTGACATTGTCAAAGTCAGTTGTCTTCAACATTCGGAACGAGAAGATAGCGGTGCTTCTTATGGAAGCTCTTTCTAGCATGTATGAACAACTATCTGTAGCGAATAAGGTACACTTGATTAAGAAATTGTTCAACTTGAAAATGACCGAAGGTGGTAGGGTTAACAAGCATCTAAATGTGTTCAACGAGATTGTGATCCAATTAGATTTTGTTGAAATCGACTTTAAAGATGATTTCCGAGCACTACTAATTCTAGGGCAGTTACCATAGAGTTGAATTGGCATAGTTACTGCGATTTGTAGCCCTGCAGGCAGGTTTAAGTTGAAGTTCGATGAAGCATGATTTTGACTAAAGAAATTAGAAGGCAAATAATAGGTGTTTCTATTAGTGGTTCAACATTGAATGTTGAGAGCAGATGCAAGAGTTAATAAGAAGAAAGGCAATGGTAATGGACGTGGTAGATTGTAGTTAACGGAACATCACAGTCTTAAAGCCCCAAGAGTTATCATAATTCCACAAATATGAATGTTATTGAGTGTTTAAATTATAGCAAGATGGGTCATTATTGAAGTTACTGCAAATCTCTAAAAAAGGATAGGGACAATAAAACTGAAGCAAATGTGGTCTTAGAAGAATTAGATCATGCGTTGATATGGTCTTTGGAGAGCAAGGCAGAGTTATGGGTTTTGGATTCCTGATCTTCATTTCATGCTACCGGGTAACCTAGGGAAGGTGTATCTTGGTGATGATCAGTCTTGCAACGGGTTGACAATGGTGAAGTACAGATCAAGATGACTAGGTATGTGAGGAAGTTCAAGGATGTCGTGCATATCCCTGACTTGAGGAAGAATCTGATTTCAATGCGACTGTTGTCAGATGAAGGTTATGTTACATCTACTAATCCAACCTTAATTTCCGTCACAAACATACCTCCGATCCCTTGGGACGATCCGTACTCACGCTAGCTATATTTTTAGTTGGAAGTGGTAGTGGCATTTTACAAATTTAAACTTGGCCACATTTTATCGCGCATACAACGAGGCCACACCATAAATCAGCAAGTTAAAGAAGCAGGTGTCTAGTGAGTTCAAGATGAAAGATCTTGGTGTGGCGAAGCAGATTCTTGGGATTTGGATTACTAGGGACAAGCAGAGAGGTACTTTGCAGTATTCTCAGGCTGACTATGTTGAATGTATTTTAACGAGGTTCAACATAAGTAATGCTAAGGCAGTGAGCACACCCTTAGCTAGTCACTTTTGACTATCTGAGGATCAATGTCCGAAGACAGAGGATAAGAGAAACTTCATGGCTAAAGTTCTGAAAGCCTCAACCATTGGAAGTTTAATGTATGTGTGCACAAGACTAGATATTGCCTATATAGTGGGAGCAGGGAGCATATTCATGAATGATCCTTTCTTTACACTGGGAAGTGATGAAGTGGATATTCAGGTATCTACGGGGTACCATAAACAGATTCCTGCGTTTCAGATGGGGCGCATTGAGACTACATGGTTATATAGATGTAGACTTTGCTGGTGAGGTAAATCACATAAGGAGTACTACCAGTAATTTTTTCATAGTGGGTACGACTGCAGTTAGTTGGGTTTCACAGTTAGAGAGGATTGCAACATTTTTCACTACAAAAGCAAAGTATATAGCATTGATAGAAGCTAGCAAGGAGATGACATGGTTACAAGGTTTGTTGACATCATTGGGATTCAGAGAGGTGAAGAATGTTTTGCAAGTGATAGTTAAATTGTGATTCATTTGACAAAGAATTTAGCATTTCATTCGAGAATCAAACACATAGGACTTCGTTATCACTTCATCACATCATTGTTGGAAGATGGGGTGTTAATACTTGAGAAGATACTTGGCACTGAGAATCCGGCCGACATGTTGACTAAGATAGTAACTGCGGAGAAACTGAAGTTGTGCACAACTTTAGTCGGTCTTCTAGCTTGTAGACATAGATGAGCACACCGACATGCACCGCTATGCACTAAAAGTTGATGGAATGGGTGTACTATTGCTCCAGCCTCCAAGTGGGAGATTGTTAAGGTTGTGGAGCCTGATCACTAGTTGGATTATTGTTCTGGAGAAGTTCGACCGGTCGCACTTGTTGAAGCAGTGATTGATAAAGGTCTGAAGAAGTCCAACCAATCGCCTTTTTGCCACCGGTCACGCTTTACTTGTAAGTTGCGGGAATTATTTTCTTTCTAGGATTTTCTCTTTTCAAAAGGCTTAGACTTGTGGGGCCAGTTGTCTTCCAATATATAGAGAGATTTGTACCAACCCTAGGGTGAAGAAGTTGTGTGAGATTATTGTGCTGCCACAAGAGAGAGGGCAAGAGAGAGATTGAGAGGAAGAGTGTTCTCCATTGTAATCTGGCATCTTTTTCAAAGTAAAATTGTTTGGTGTGCTCCGTGGACGTAGCCCTTAGTTTGGGTGAACCTTGTTGATTTTTATGTGATTGTTTTTCTTCTTTTATTGCTTGTTTCCACGTGTTCAATTACCTCCAACATCAGTTAGATCTATCTATTTTTTACAAACTGGGTTTTCTTATTTTAGTTGTTTTGTGCTTTGCACGCCTTCTCATTTCATTATTGAAAGCTCAATTATTTTCAAAATCTTTATTGTTTATTGGTTATCTTGAAAGGATTCAATTGATATAGAAGGTGTTTAGTATTTGGGTTTCCCAGAAATTGTACGTTTACTTAAAATTTTAGGAAGTATTCAATTGATCTACATCTTATTGTTGTTATTGATAATTAGAATTTCATCTCTTATCTGCTTTGTGTCTTAGTGTTTAAAAGTCTTTGGGGAAAAATTCTATTTCAACTTAACCAGCTGAATTTAGTACCATATTCTTCTCTTTTACCAGTTCACAATTCAAATTGTTCTCAAAATTTAAGAAGTTTGAAATTTAGTCCAATAGTGTGACACTTGAAGGTTTCAAGACCCTTTTTATTTTTTTTTGTTTGTTAATTGTTCTCAATTTTTATGATGCTGTTATTTCATTTGGCAGATGGATGCCCAGAGCTTGTTGCCCCGACTGGTTGTGTAATCTTGCAATTCTTCAAGTGTCGAATATTTGGGTTTTTCCTAAGATTGTGTCACTTTGAGACAGCATTCAAAACCTAACCAATCTCACAACTTTTGGATTCCGGTTCCGCGCTGAACTAAAATGGAGATGATGAAGGGAATTGCGGAGGATTGGAATAAAGATAGAACACATACCACATGTTTGGTTAAAAGAATACAGGCACAGAACATCTTTGTGAAGTAACAGGAATGCAGGAGGCAGGTTTTTGTTAATCATATTACATATGGTGGCCATTTCCTTTTAAAAAAGGTAACTTCCTCTTAAGGTTGAATATATATATACACACACACATGTATGTGTCCTTTAGTCCTAATGTTTCTATGATGAAATTTGATCAATAATCTCAACTAAGGAATATTTACATGTCTTGGGTTATAATATTCTGAAATAGAACTCCACCTTCTTTCTTGTGTACTGATAGTTGGAATTTATGTTTGTCGATGACTGCAGGATATCAACAGCAAGGTAGAGGGTTTCAGACAGTAATCCACCATCATTCGTTCATATAGATTTATGTAATTTCTAAAGTTTTTTCTTTGTTAATTTTCTATATCAAAGCTTCCCATTGTTAAGGTTCCAAATCGGAATGGTAATGGACCATTATGGAGTTCCGGTCAGCAAGGATAGGCGGATATGGGTACTCAAATTGGAGGAAGTACAATAAAACTCGAGTTACGAATCTATTGTCAATTTGGATATCCAATTCGAATATATTATTCAAAATTTCAAACTTGCTTTAATATTCAGCCATTAGTCTAACAAATCGGCTCTTTAATTATTATTTATTCAACTTTATTTTATTTAGTTTGGTTCAATTCATATTTAGTTCAATAAAAGTACACGGATACATTTTTCTAATTTTGCATAACATTTTAATACTCTGCCAGCTCAATTTCGGTGCCATTTTATTTGCACCTATAATATTTACTAACATGCATCTTTTAGAAAAATTTCTTGTTTTGAATTTAGTTGGTTTGTTTTTGCTGTCCTATTGTCTAAATGCTACTGATGAGGATAAAGAATTTTGAGTTCTGAAATGCATGTTGTATTGACTTCTATATTGAAAGTATTTCTACTTTGAAAATTGTGTTCCCAACCGGAGATTAGCACAGATGTAATTCAATCAGCGCAAAGTTCTGTTCTACCTCTTCGCCCTATTTAAGTTTACCCTTCTTCATACATTGTGTAATAGGAGTAACAATACTGTTAAAATTTCTAATGATTCTCTAATAAAATGTTGCTAAAACATAAAAATTGCGCGCATAGCCTACTGTTTTTGGCATGGGCCATTCTCGAATTGCCTGAACTTTTTTCTCATCGACCCGAATGCCTTCAGTAGTCACCATAAAACCTAGAAACAGTAAGCGGTTGGTCATAAAAGTGCACTTCTTCAGATTGATGTACAACTTGTTTGCCTATAAAACCGTCAGTACTTCTCTCAAGTGCGATGGATGCTCCGTATCTGACTGACTATAAATTAGGATATCATCAAAATAGACAACAATGATTATGAAAGTGCTTGGAGCATTGGACAGCCCAAACAACGTCACTAACCATTCATACAGACCCTCCTTAGTCTTGAAAGCAGTCTTCTATTCGTCCCCTGGTCTAATACGAATCTGGTGGTAGCTGCTTCTCAAACCAATTTTTGAAAAGAGTTTTGAACTGACCAGTATATTTAACATATCATTTAACCATGGAATAGGAAATTTGTACTTGATGGTGATCTTGTTGATGCTCTGTTGTCGACTACTATCCTTCTTTGGTACTAACAAAGCTGGAACAACACACAAACTCATACTCTCTCTCACCATACTCTTCTAAACTAACTCCTTAACTTGGTCCTGTAGAATTTGACACTCTTTTAGGCTCATGCAATAGTGCGGTAAATGCAGCAGCCTAGCACCAGGCACAAGATCTATGTGGTGTTGAATATCTCGCATAGGAGGTCGACCACTAGGCAACTTATCTAGAACAATCTCCCAAAACTCTTCAAGCATAGGTTGTAACACTATTGGAATTGTAGAAGGAATATTAGACACCTCTTCTCTAACCACCAATGCCAAAAACTTTCCGGATTCCTTGACCTTCTCCAAAAACTACTGCTCACTGCCAACTAAAAAAACTGATTTCCCCTTAGCTTGTGAAACCTTAGAAAAATCCCCTTCGGTCATAGAACCCAACACAATCTTCTACCCTCATTTATTAAATATATAAACATTATCTCTACCCTTGTGAATGGCATTGACTTCAAACGATCATAGTTTGCCCAAAATCAAGTGATGAGCATCCATATCAACAACATCACAAAATGCCTCATCAATATACTTATTCCCAATAGAAAAGGAAACCCGGCAGATATTTGTAATCCTTGTTTCTGCCCCTTTTTTAATCCAGCCAATTTTGTAGGGACTCAGATGCTTCTTTATTTTCAGCCTTAACTTCTGGACCATTGCCATTGACACAATATTCTCACTATTACCACTATCAATAATAACATCATAGACTTTCGTATTGACAGTGCACCGTGTTCGGAATATATTATTCCTCTGTGGATGCTCTTTGGTTTTTGGGGTAAGTAACAGCCTTCGCACAACTAGAGAATGTGAGAGTAGATCCCCCTCATCTTCTTTTATTACCACTTCCTTATCGTATAAAGGAAACCTTTCGTCAGCTTCTCTATCTTAATTCTCCTCACCCCTAGGCTCTATTAAATTAACTGAGTGCCTTGGGGACATTCATTAGATCGATGTCCTGGCTGCCTACATCGATAACACTTAATAGGGTCTGGCCGACTTGCTACAGAAGTTGTTCCTGCTTTCTTTGGCTGAGTATTGGTGCTAACCAAATCAGGTACTACTAGAACAGAAGGCTGAGATTACATAGGCTGTTTTGCTTTATTTGTCACTGAACGCAACGAATCAAAGTAATTCTTGGAGCCAACCGTTGTTTTCGTTTTCTCCAAAAAAAGCCTTCGCCCTAGTTGCCGCATTCGTGGCTTCTGCTGAAGTATAAATTATCTGTATTGATACCCTATCGTGAATGGCATATCGCATACCATTCAGATAATGAGTAACTCGCTGCATCTCAATTTTCCTTAGGTCGTTCTGAGATGTCAACCGATTGAATTCTTCCGTATAGGCATGAATCGTTCGACTTCCCTGTTTGCAATCCTGATACTTCTGGAATAAAGTCTGTTCATAATCTGGTGGCGAGAATCTGCCCCTTATCAGACGCTGTTGCATCTTCTAAGAACGTATTAGTGCCTTCCCTCGTGCGCAAGCAACTTGAAGTTGTTACCACCATGCAGAAGCTCCTCCCTTGACCCTATATGCCACTAGTTTCACCTTCTTATCTTCTCGGATATGCATGTAATCAAATAATCTCTCAACTTCTGCCAGCCAATTTAACATATCTTCAATATTAAGATTACCGTTAAAACTGGGGAGATCCATCTTCATATAAAACTCCCTAGAATCATGATTCCCTTGATCTCGATATTAACCCCTTTATTTCCCCCAAACACCTCTTCAGCGTAGTCATCATCACTAAAGTCTTCCTCGTAGGTTGGCTGCCTACGCAGTGGGATGGGGTTGCGATTCCAAAAGAGATGAACGTGATATTCGTTAACGTTTCGCACCCTATTGTTATCTTGATTCTGATTTGGACCCAACGCGAGCCTAACAAGGTTTTTTTGAATTTCTTGCAATGCCAGTTGGGTTATCTATCTAAAGTCCAGGATTCGTCCCTCGAAAGAGCCTCTCTGTCAATCTTCGTCGCCAGCGAGGTTGCTGTCACCGCATTCATTTGCCATTCGACCAGGGAAAGATAAGGATCTGATACCAATTAACGTAAGCGGAAGTGATAAATTTGTTCACAAGGAACGGTTTACTTTGAATCCACAAAGTATGGTGTTTTGAATCCACAAAACAAAGGATAATTTTAGAGAAATATGATATTTGTATTGATAATTGAATGAATGATTCTGATCTCTATACATATTTATAATGAAAGAAAATCATAATCCATAAGGAAACTAACTGCAGTACGAATCCTTATAACATAAAGAAACATAATCCCGAAAAGGATACTAATACTCGAAAATACCCCTAAAAATAAAATTTCTCTAAAAATTCTAAAAAAATGGAGAAATAAACCTAATAAAATAAAATTACTAAATATAAAATATAAGTGCAATCTGAGTTCGTTTAGACAACGAACAAAAATTCTGAAATATTCGACAGACTTTTTAAGGACAGAAAACCCCGTTTTGAGGCCCTAAGCGATTGGTATTTTGCCGAAAAATAGGTTACATCACGGTATAGCGGTGAGTCTTGCTAGTCGGGCCGTTTCCAGTAAAAAAAACTCTCATGTTAGGTTAAAAACGCACACTTTAGGAACAACCCAGAAAATCTGTCAGCATACCCGTTTGACCCCTGGCAGTCCAAACGGACCATAAAAACTTCAGCAATCAGTTCTATATCATATTAGCAATACCCCACGCAAGAAAATCCAATAAGTTACAGGTCTTCCATTGCCTACTGCATTTCTGCGCATTATATTTTTACATATTAATCCATCTAATAAAATTATGTGATCATCATGTACAGTCAGAATATGGTACCTCTCATTAGGGTGTGTAATGATATAATTTTTGGCTTCTTGAATCGCTTGACAGCTTAATTAAAGAAAAACTATCCAATGCACCTATTCTAGCATTGCCAAGCTTTAAGAAATTGTCGGAGTTGGTGCTGTTCTATCTAAGGAGGGTAGACCAGTTGCGTTCTATAGTGAGAAGCTTAGTGATACGAGGAAGAAATGGACTACTTATGAGCTTGAGTTCTATTCAGTGGTACGTGCATTGAAGGTGTGGGAACATTATCTAGGGTAAAGAGAGTTCGTTATTTACACTGATTATCAAGCTTTGAACTTCATCAACAGTTAGAATAATATTAATAGGATGCATGCCAGATGGGTTTCTTTTCTATAGCGATTTACCTTATCATTGAGGCATAAATTAGGCTAGCAAAATAAAGTCATTGATGCACTTAGCTGAAGAGTAGCACTCTTGGTGACTTTGCAAGCTAAAGTTGTGGGTTTTGACTATTTGAAGGAGTTGTATGGGGTGATGTGTACCAAATTATACTACTCACAATAGCACGAATCTTAGTAGGATAGGGCTATATTAAGGGTGTCGAACCCATAGAGAGATGTGTGTTTATTTAAGTGTTCAATTAATCCAATTTTGATTCAAAGAGAAGAGATTGTTTGATTGGTTGTTTATCATGAATATAAAATAAAATAAAACTAAATTAAAGTAAAGAGACCAGGGAGAGAAAATCTTAGGGATTGACTTTACCACGAACTTTGTATTATGGTAAACCATTCAACCTTGGGATTTCAACAATTTATATATCATATGAATTAAACTTAATAACATTCATTTAATTCAATTTTAAAGAAAGATGTTTCATGAATTTCAACTAACAATAACCTATCTTCGGTTAGCACGAATTATCTACCTACCTACTTCTAACTTATGTTGTAGTATAACTCATCTTCCCTAGGCATAGCCTATGAAAATATTCATTCATGAAAAACATTGGAATACCATTATATGATCTCTATTATTACTATTGGGAAGCCCTTATGCCGCCATCTCGTACATTAAGAATAAGTTGAGAATTATTTAAAAACAATTAAATCTAAGACAAGGTATTAATCATTCAAAAATCATTATTT